ATTTGAAGTTCCTGGCCCCTGGGATGCTAAATGTTGCTTGTACTCAGAAAAGGATTGTGATTTTCTTTAAAATGCCAATAGACAAGAACAATGTATGAAAGAGGAACATATTTGGCTTGTACTTGGATACTCGGTAAAGCACCAGCTGCCCAGAAGTTACTTGTTTGTAATGACTAGCCTGAATGACATTCATTGATTTTTGTAGAAACTTCCTGCAACACAGACACAACTTTGACTCAACTGTGAATCGCATCCTTAACACAGAGAATTACCAAAGAATTTGTAAAAAAAGCTGACAAGATCTGTGTAGTAAATACACTTTGATTGATTACACAGAAGGAAGGAATTTTAAGTTATTTTATGGGATTTATACTGTACAGTAGTCTGGTGACGAGATTAAACTCCTGCAGTGTCAGTTTAAAGGATAGCACAGACCCTCATAGGGGCATGCAGTAAAACCAAAAAAAAGGAAGGCCTTACAGAGAAACAACGGAGGTAAAAAATTCTTGGATGTGCTGAAGTGACACCCCCATTAATAATGTTGAACAATGTTTTAAGACCAAGACGAAATACAGAAATGTTGTATATCATCTAACGTTGCTTTAAAAGGTCACCCTGTAGCAATAAAGGACTATTCCTAGCATGTCACTTGCACATTCCTCAGATGAAAAGGCGTTGAGGGGATTTCTTAAGTCGTCCTTTATTAAAGATAGCTCTCAGATGCGAAATTTAGGGCAAAATTGAAGCAGAGATTTTCACCACACTGATGGGAGGAGTTAACATCTCATTTCTCTGCCAGCAACTGCGCCGGTGACACTGCAGTAATAAATCTTTCACTTGAACACTAGTAAATCACTAAGTAAATTATTAGTTAGATCTTAAAGAGGATACGCCTTCCCAGTATTTTGTTTGTGGTGATAAGCCAGTCCTAAGTTTCAATGTTAAACTCCGGATGAACACCCAAAGTCTTAAAAGGTAGCACACACAGATTTCCAGGACAAAGTTGACTAATCTCAATTTCATCTTTTTATTTTGTGTATGTCAGATAAACATGCTAAAGTTTCATCAGAGCATACATTATTAGTTAATGTCCTGTTCACAGGAATTTACACAGACATTTTGAGAGAGGGGAAAGGAGAGGAATAATCAGTTTTTAAAGTTGGGGAGATGTCACTGTGAAACTGTGGCTGCAGCTTGTACAGGCCAAAGATGGACAGTAATGAGGACAAATAGAGTGAGAAGATATTAAACAACTCACAAAAACTAACTAAAGCAATCACATACAATGTTAATCTATATTACGCAAGCCTGAATTCTTCTGCTCGATTGTCACCGATTTTTCTAACGTTATGTTAAAAAATGTGTTAATGATTTTTTCCCACTATTAGCAGCCCACTTTCTCTTCCTCACTTTCCCAGGCTCTGAGAGTGGCTTTAAGGGGTTACCTTGTTAGAGGTTTGGGGATATGCCCATGTCGGCCGCTCTGTTTTCTTCAACCTTCTGTTTTGGAGAGGCCCTTTTCTGTGTCGGCACTGTGACAGGGTTCTTGGCAATATCCTGAAAGTCAAATCTGTTCATTTAGATTCAAGTGGTGACCATGGAGCAGACAGCAGCCCATTGGCATGCTGTGGCAAAACTAGTATTCAGGGCACTTAATATCCTGAACTCAACATTTGTCCTTTTTCATAACACTAGCAAGCTGATGGGTGAGTCTGTGTGTTAAAGCGGTTCTTGTATTTAAATAAGATAAATAATATAAATGTGCAATTTGTTACTGCTTATAAATTGCTGATTAACTTTTTATTCTTCCAGAAGTCGCAAGTCTGGGCCAGTTAGGGCAGCACCCTGATGGGGGTTAACATGTCTTGCTTAAGGGCACTTTAGTAGGTGGAGCTGCTTACTGGTATTGGGCTAACGTGAATATAGTCTAAAGCTGGGCTGAGGACTACAGGAGTTTAACCCATTTAAAAATCGGGTTGCATGCATTACGCACAAAAAGAATAACTTCACAGATTTTCTAATCTCAAACATGCATTCACAACAAGATGTGAAAATAATGGTGCATCACACAGTACATGATATTATTAAGATAATCGTGCCATAGGGAGCAATGCACCTCCGCATGTGATCTCCTGGGGTAGCAGATATAAACAGACTAATGTAGCGGAACACCTTGCTGTAGTAACGTTAGTGCTTAGGAATAACAAAAGCAGAAGGCTAAATGAGCCTGGATGAGAAAATGCTTAAGGAAATGCGGTCAGCACAGGTTGTCTATTCTTCAGCAAGAACTAGAGGTGAGAGTGTCAGTTTTAATATCTGTCAACAGTAGTATGCTAGCTAATGTTAGCCTCACGGGATACGTTGTTTACCACTGGTTGGCCACACCTCTCATTCACTTCCCTACCAACGTAATCATCCAGATTTTAACTCCTGAATAGCAAACACGTTTGAAAATTATCGGGGCACTCCTGATGAGTCGGCAAGCAGCTCAGGAGGTTTAAGAACGGATCCTGTAAACCCCTCACATTATAGGATAATCTGGGCCGGACCAGATTTCTTCTCCAATCGTAGGGAGGTTAATCGGCCCAAAACTCCTGTAGTATGCGAGTGTAGAACTTCAAAATCAAAAGTGCCAAAAAAGTGCCTCCAATGTTAGTGCAGCTTACCTCACCAGTGGGTTAATTTTCTCAGATGTAGGATGGAAATATTTTGTAAATGAGTAGTGTTTCGTGTGAAAGCAGTGGACACCCACATTATATATTCTTCACGAAACAAGCACTGCACTGTTTAAAACAGAAAGCCTATTGCTGTAAAGGAAGAACAACAAGATCAAGTGTATGGAAATGGTTTTTCCCCACACTTGGGATTTCTTATGGGAAAAACTGGGCTCACATAAAATAATCTTATTCAGTTGCATCATTTCTTTATTTAATAGGAAATTTAGAAAATGAAATCCTTTGTGAAGTATAATAATGCCAGTTGTTACTTTTTGTTGTTGAATTAATGTAGTAGCATGAGAGCTGAAGCACCACATAGTTCTAATAATCAATGATGTGTCAACGTAGCAATAGCACATATTCTGAGCTCAATTTCATTTTTTTCACAAGCTTACATTTTCAGTTACATGCAGTCTTTGGCCTTTTCTTGAATCTGCAGAGCTTTTCAGGGACACGCAGATGCAAAGAGACAATGAACAGAATCGGGCTGTGGATAGAGCCTTGAGATACTCCACTAGAAATGCGCTGATGAGAATGTAGTACTATTGACTGCAGCACTCTGGGCATACATACTGTACTGTCGTGATGCCAAAAGTAGTGCAGAGGTTAAGTACTGTAAAAAAGACAAGAAGAGTCCACTAGTCCAAGTAAATCAGTGTTCATGTTAAGCATTTTTGAATGATTTAAACGCAGTAGTTTTATATATAAACTACTGTCAAAATCATTATTGAGGACTATACTGCTATGCAAGGGGAGGACATTATGTACTGTAAAAACAAGACACAGAGTGAAGAAATGGTCAGTAGAAAATTTGGAATTAGGATGTTGGCATGCAATTCTAAAAAATAATAACCACAACCACACAAAGATAAAATAGTAATCCTACAATCCTGTTTTTTTTTCCCCTTTTATAAACAGAAAATATACAGTGATTAAACATGAGTCACGTGCCCTGTTAGGCATTCAGGAGACATTAAAAAAGGACATGAATCATCAGAAGGGAGACACAGTAACACGGACAACAGTGTGTAGCATCAGGATGTGGGCATGTGGGAGACACACAATAAGCCATATCAGCCTTACTCGTTTACAGTCGTAGCCTTCCCCTGCATGGTGGGCCAAGTAGAGTTTCTCATGGACTGACAACACAGCTGTACACCATTCGTCCGGTCTGAAAGACGGCTAATGGGACAAAGGGCATGAGTGAGGAGAGGGAAACGAGGGAGAGATGCTCGCTGAATCGCCCAGCCCTCCCCTGAGCAGGACGGGGAGCACCACTCTTCCTCTCTGCTCATAGCTGCTTTCCCCCGGCCCTCAGCCATTTTGGAGAGAGGAAAAAGTGGCTGCTTTCTCTCTCCCTCTCTCACTACGTGGCATAGCTTTGGAAAGGCTTCGGCTGCTGTGTTGTAGCAGCAGAGAAGAAACATTTTGCAGCTCGCACTTTGGAGATAATATGTTTGCAGAGAAAAAAAATTCAGACGCGAAAGAGCCTTCTTCCATCTTGACTTTTTTTTTAATGAATTTTTGTTTCCCTTGCATTCAGCTGCTAAGCCTCTCTCCTCTTTGCTGTGCACTTTCACTCATGCTGTGTCCTTTTCTTTAATAACTTGCGCTGCAGTTTTGTTGGCTGGTCCTTTCCCCTTGTCTCTTTTAAGTTATATCTTTTCTCATCTCTCAATTTGATTTTATGCAACAGAGTGTAAGACAAAGGGATATGTCCAAATTTTGGCACCACTAAGAAGAGACAGAGCTGCAGCCAAGGATCCTGCTGGGATCCAAAAAAGCCAAGCAGAATGAAGCACCAAAAAAAAAAAAAAAAACAACACCACCCTTTCCTTTGCTTGGTCACAAATTCCACTTTTTCTGTAGCCAGCCCTGCGCTTCGACTCCTCCTCGTCCACATCTTACCGCATTCAACCTTTTGCCATTTCTCTCTTGCCGTACCTTTTTTTTAAGGCGATTTGAGGTTTTTGTACCCCGGAAAATGGGCACTGGACAACGGGTTAGGAGGGCGTAACAGGGAGAGAACGAGGGGATGTTATCTTCTTACTTTTCCTTGTTATTTTCCGTTGTTTTTTTTTTTACTGTTACTGTTATTGAATTGTTGTTGTAGTACTTGTAGTTTTTTATCTTTTATGTGTTTTAAGGGTGTGCTTGGACTACCACGTGTTTGTAAGTGTGTGTTTTTAGGAATTTGTGTGCATGAGGATCTTATCTGTTAACGTTAGACTTTCAGTTCTGTTCACAGTCTGTGTCTGATGATTTGTATATCTGTTTTTATAGGTTTTTTGATTTATACTGAAACATTGGCCTACACTACTCCTCAAGCCTGACTCCATCTGATTCCAGAGGATTCGTGTGCCCTACCGGTATGTTGGCGATTTATAATACTTATAGTTTTCTCTCTGTTAGCTTGGTTCAGTTTAGTTTGTAACCCGCACCATATGATGCATAGCTGATGATTTGTTTTTTGATGTTGTTTATGGCAGACAGTAAGGTCATGGAAATGCATAGTTTATCAGACAAATGCAGGTATTTATAAACTACCGGTTTTCTTTTCAAAATGAAAACGGGTTATAATATTTTGTGTTCTGTTCAGGTGCGATTTAATATGATTTCACAATCTTATTTATTCTCACTTAATATTTACATAGAGGATGTTGTCTGTTGACTATTGTAGTCATACTTGGAATGAAGAATACAAATGCTCTCGTAATGTTCTTCTGACATTTTATTCATGTTGTGGTATTTCATAAAAAACTCAGCACTGTACAGGAGAATTTTATTTTCACATCTAGCTGGCATTTCATGTTTTTATGTCCACATATAAAAGAACACAACAGTATTATTCTGTTTGACATTTCAAAAATAAATGTTGACCTCAGAAGAATGTGATCAGTAGGTTACACAAACACCACGTCCATCTCACAGTCATGTGCTCTGGCCTGTTCATTGTACCATGGCTTAATTTCAAAGCTGTACTCTATAGATACACAAACAGAAAATATCTTTTATTGCCACACTGAAAAGGTCTAATCAAATATGAATGAAAAATACATAAAAGAAACAGTGTACTGCCATGAACAGTTTTTTTCCGCACTATCAAAAAAGGATTTATTCTGCAAATATTATAAGGTAAAAGTTAAAATAGACTGAACTTCTAAATCTTCTAACATATAATGGAAGATATACGATGTAGATGTATAGATGTTGTATGAGTGCAGTTTACAGGTTCAGATAGCGGATTGACTTGCTGATTCCATGTTTTCTGAGTTTCGTCTTCCTTATTTGCTCTTGAAGTGGTAATGCCAGCTGCCACAAACCCGTAGATCCGAACTTGTGGTGACTGGCTGCACAAGCTCGTATCTATAGGTATGTGTCTTCCTGGCAAATACGGCACCTGACCTAAGAAAAACCACTAGTTTAATGTAATTATCTTTAAAGCAGGTTTTGACAAGATAGCTAAAAAGATGGGGCTTGTCCGACTCCATTACAGCCTCATCTGTACAGTAAGTCATTTATAACACCGAGCTCTCTTAACCTGTGTTTACACGACTGAACAACGCCGACTTTGTCAGACACTCTCTGCCAAACTTATCCCACGTGTCCCGTCTTTACGCAGTGACCCCACCCAAAGTAGGAGGGTTGGACTATGACATTATAAAAATCCCTTTAATATTTCGGGCTGAATTAGGCCATTGGGTCAGTGCTGCAGGACTGCTTCATAGCAATATTGGTTTTACAGAATGTTTGCATAAAAGTGATTTTGCCAAGTATTTGATGAATTAGCAGGAAACAGACATTCCCATCTGGTTATTTTGTCTACGGAGTGTTTCTTAAATTTTCTTTAAAAATTCCAGATGTCGTAAAAGCCGTGTATGTCATGATCTAGTTTGATATCACAGAATGCTATAAAACTACATTTACCCTGACAGATTTCACTCCTACAAAGCAGCCATCCTGCAGTTTCCTCCAGTGTTCCGCAGGTTGAGGTAGTAGGTTGTATAGTTCAGAGTGACACCACAGGAGATAACTGTACAGCCTCCTAGCTTTCCCTGAGGAAACACCACACACTCTGGACACTGATGGATTATTTTACCAAACACTAACTTTTGTGCAATATTAGACTGGGCACTGGGTTTATCAGTTGGTTGTAAATACATTGTCTTTTTATCAGGTGGTTTCGTACCTGGCCCTAACATATTGATTTTGAATTTTCACAATTTTCTTTCCTTTGTTTGACATTTTATTTATAGGGCATGTGAAGATGTAAAAATATGTGCTGAACAAATTAACATGAACATGGCAGAAATTGCCTCTCATGACATTATTATGGCAGGAAGACAAAATTAAAACAATCATAGAGCAGAAGACAACGAGGAGGAAAACGTTTGAGAGTTTGGGGAACAGCACCAGCATGCTGCTACAGCAGCAAGGTCTATGGGCCGCTCTAATGAAAGAGATGCCACTGAAGGGAAACACCATACAGCCGCAGGGGGAAGAACATGGACTTGGCAGCCAATTATGTACAAAGTTCAGTTTCACTTAACCAAAACGTTATATTTCCTCTGCGCAACTATGTGGTAAAGACAGTGCTGTGATCAAAACAGCTAGAAACAACTTTAACTGCTTCAAACCAAGAAAACCACAGACCCCTGAAGTCATCTAGGTCCCTGACAGCAATGTAAAATACGCAGTTTTATTGCTTTATTTGAGGAATATTCAACTGAATAACTTGTGCTTTTTCACAAATCATGTGAGTTCTAGCTGCACTTCACAGTCATATTTTAGCTGAACAGTTTTGATCTCTGTTGGAGACTACATTTTCTGAACTCCCAGTTTAACGTGCTGGAATTTCAGTTATGGGCTTCTGTCAATAGACACTGAATACAAATACAAAATGACATACAAATAAAATCAATGTTACGCAAATGCGGCTTTAAAAAATCTCTATGAGCAATTTGCTGTAACTTTTTTCTGTCGTAGGTTTTGTGAACATTAATTAATCCTGCTACATCTTGTACTTTTACTGCCATGAAATTATGTTCCTAATCTAAAAAATAAAACCTGACAGTGGATGCAGTCTTGTTACGGAGTGCAGTGTGCTGCTATGTGCAGATATGTAGAGCATGGGGTGGTATGATGATGAAAGACTGTTTCCACTTAAACTCTTCGCTCTCTGTCCAAGGCCACCCGGTTCGAAGTAAGGAGCTCCGTGGGTCAGAATAAAGCGGGGGGCCCTGGTACGGGGCAGCTTCTGCAGTACGAGCAGTCAGTTACAGTAGATACAACATGACACTATTGTGTGTGGTTTTTTTCTCAGTGCATAATAACCCCTCTTAGTCTGTTTTTTTCCTGGAATGAGCAAAGTGTTTTTCATTTGCATCCCTGTCTGTGTGAGATGTTTTGTTGTGGACATGGGGTAGTGTGTTACAGTATACAGCAGGAGGCATACAGGAGCTTTCCCTAGTGACCCCCTCCAGCACACACACCCCGCCCTCCTTGTGGAATGTAAGTGTAGGTTTTTGCCTTCATTGAAAATTTCTATAAATAGTCCCGTTTAGCTGTTTTAATGTTAGTTCTGTGTGTGGCCGACTCGAAACGTCAGCGTCGCTGGAGAGGAAGTGGAGGCACTATGTAAAAGTGAGATTACATGAACGCCCCTTTTACTGCTCTGAGGTGCATGTGATGTGTTGAGACACCACAGCATGTGATGTCTGTGACCCAGAGAGATGCATTTACTTTTAATGAAAAAGGTATATGGAGTGAGAACTTTGTTTGTTTTTTAATTGCCCTTGAAATGAGAGATAATACCCTCTCAAAGAAATCCATTTAAACCAGTAGAGGCAAAGAGGGCGGTAGTGTGGGACCACACCGGCCATTTTTCTGCTGTCACTGATCTGAGCCCATTGTGTGTTGTCCGTCAGAGGAACCCTTTTCTGGTAATTCCCCTACCTCCCCATTTGTCTCGCTTTCTTACCATCTTGTCACCCGTCCTTTTTCACAAGTCTTTTCTGCTGCTTTACAGCAGCTAATACTGATAAAATATAAGACTACCACACCACCAGGCTTCCAGTTACATTTCCTTTTACCGCTCCCTGAACTTGTGCGTCTTCTCTTCGTTGCACCCTCCTTTTCTCTTTCAGTCTTGTTCCCACCCTTTTCTCCATGAAACGCACGCTGTAATACCCAGTCACTCTCGCAGACACAGAGGGAGAGAGAGACAGGAACAGAATACCGGACTTGCCGACTGAAGAGGGATTTTTTTTCTTTTCTTTTCTTAAATGAAAAGGAGCTTAAAAAGAGACATTGTAAGACAAAATGTGATTGCCTATCTTTGCCTTCTTTCTTTCTCTCTGCTACTGTATGCTTGTTCTCTTTACCACTTTTTCCCTCCCTCTCTACCATTCCTTATCTCTCCTTCTCTGTACATAGCAGGCCTTTAGAGTCTGTGATTTCAGCTGTGAGGGGAAATTAATGGATGATATTTATTTCTCTTTCACCGCTCTGCTACTGCTGTTCCGGTGCTGTATGTAACAGGCAGAGGGGCAAGCCGAGACTCTACAGTTTCTCTGCCCTGGGGACCTGAGCCTGCAATCCATGAAGCATGCAAGGCAGAGGAGGGAAAGAAAATACAGAGGCACAGACAGAGAGGTGTGATACAGTGAGACTAAAGCGCCGACCAAGAGCAGAAAGAAAATGTGACAGAGATCGAGCCAGTAGACAAACAAACAGGGCAAGAATAAGATGGGTAGTAGTGTCACATGGAGAAAGATGGGTGAGTAGCAGCGGGTAGAGGCACTACAGCAACAGGCGTTACACATTTTTTCCTATTATTCACTACTGTGGCTGTTTTGGCGCTCTCTGTCTGAGCTTATTTCCATAGCTATTAAGCATATCTGCAAAATGCAGACGATAACAAGAGCATCCGTTTGTTTTTTGTTGTTTTTTCTGATGTTAAACTGTGCTTATATGGAAAATGTAGGGAATGCTGAGATGCTGGGCACATGTCGACTTTATTGGATCGTATGTGGTATGCATGTGTGTCCTGGTCATTTGCATTGGCTTTCTTTTTATTCAAGTAATCAGTTACGTATCTTACCTTAACTTACCTTATCTTATCTCTTCCCCTCTTTCATTCCTGTCTTCTTTTTTCATTCTGTTTCTCATTTGTTCTCGCTCTCCTGTACTAGTAAGCGTGTAGCAATACAGGCCCATTGATCTGCTCCTTTTTTCTCCCCTTGCGTGTGCTATTCTCTGTTGCTAATTTATATAGAGGCTTCTTTCTCCATAGTTTTTAAATGTACTGTAGTCAGTCATTCTTACTACTTTTCTTTTTAAATGAATCTCAGCTATATTTCTTATTCAC